AGATGAAAACATTTGTTGGATGTCTGAGACCTCAGAAAAATTTTAAGGCAGCTCCTTAAAGTTCTGTGGAAATGGAATTGACAGTCTCTAGGATGCTGAGATCAGGATCTGAGCTCTGAAATCATCCACACATCCATCCTATATAATAAAAGCCTAATACGCTAAATGTCCAGTTATCTGTTCAAACAAAGCATAATATGCTAATGATATGGTAAGGATGCTCAACCGCTCACTATGACATGCACTGACCACCAGAGGGCAGATACTCCGATCAGTAGGTTAGCTTGTTGCTGCGGTCTGGCCAACGGGGACTGAGTGAGAAGTGCTGGACACACCCTGGAACCCTCGTGCAGCCCCTATCCCTGGCCAGCCCCATCCTGATCAGCAACCAACACCCCGATTAGGGATGGGGCCCGCCAATCAACCACTCATGGCCCCTCCCTCTGGTTGGCCCCACCCCCAATGGCTCCCCATCAGGGCGGGCTGGCCGAACCCCACCCGTGCATGAATTCATGCACTGGGCCCCTAGTTCATTCAATAAAGAATTATTAAATCCCTACTATATGTCAAGGGCTCTTCTAAGTGTTGAAGATAAAGCATGAAATAGATCAAAGCTTCTGCACTCATCAAGTAGGGATAGGGGAAAGGAGAGGGGGAACAGACAATCCTATATAATAAAAGCCTAATATGCTAAGTGTCCGGTTATCCAGTCGGCTGTTCAACCAATCAGAGTAGTATGCTAATGCCACTCAACTGCTTGCTATGATGTGCACTGATCCTTGGGGGCAGATGCTCATGCTCAACTCAGGAGCTGCCCCCTGATAGTCAGTGTGGTCCCACAGGGGGAGTGCTGCTCAGCCAGAATCCCTGAGCCATGGCTGGCAAGCACAGCGGTGGTGGTGGGAGCCTCTCCTGCCTTTCGCAGCAGTGCTAAGGAAGTGCAACTGACAGCTCCCGGACTGCAAAAAGGCGCAGACCTGGCTGAGCCACCTCCCCCAAGAGCATGAATTTCATGCACTAAGCCTCTATCTAGTAAGAAATTATATGAGTTAAAGAATTATATTATTAATGCTAAGGAAAGTTAATATACAAATGTTAGTGGTACAATTCTAGAAGGGTGGACAAGATCTCAAGGAAAAGTTGACATCTGAGTAAAGACCTAAAGGAGGTGAAGGTGAGCCTTCACTACCTAGGGAAATGTCCCAGGTAAAGAGAACAGGTGGTACATTTAAACCATGGGATACTATGCAGATGTTAAAAAGAAGGATCTCACAGCAGTTGAGACAACATGGAGGGACCTGAGAGTATTATGCTAAGCAAAATAAGCCAGAACTCACTTGTCTGTGGAATCTTTTGAACAAATAAAATTGACAAACAAAACAGATCCAGAGACTTGGAAGCTTGCAACAGACTAACGATCCTCAGAGGGAAGAGGGGAGGGTATGACGGGAAAAGAATGAACTAGGGACCCGATGCACAAAATTCGTGTGAGAGTAGGCCTTCCTTCCCCTGACTGCTGGCACCGGCTTCCCTCTGTCACCCAGGACCCAAACTTCCCTCACAGTCCCGGCTTTATCCGGGAGGTCATCTGGAAGCACATCCAGTCTAATTAGCATATTATGCTTTTATTATTATAGATAGGCATAACCCATGGAAACAGACAATAGTACAGTGATGGCCTGGGAAGGAGGGAGTCAATGGGAAGCAAAGGTAACACCTATAATACTCTCAACAATAAAGATAAACAAACAAACAAAACAGCAAGTACAAAGGCTCTGAGGCCAGTTGGCTGCAGCAGAGTGAGCAAGGAAGGATGAATAAACGATGTCAGAGCAGTAGCATGGACGAGTCATGCAGGACTTTGCAGGTCATGGAGAAAACTTTGGCATTTACTTTCTGTGAGATGGAGGTACGGGAGGGTACTGGGAAGGAGAGGAACGGGACCTGACCCAGGTGTTCACAGTGTCACTCTGGGTGCATGTGAGGAACAGACTGTGGGGAGCAGGGATTATTGAGAAGGATGCCATGATGATCTAGCCCGTGGTCAGCAAACTCACTAGTCAACAGAACCAAATATCAACGGTACAACAATTAAAATTTCTTTTGAGAGCCGAAAACTGACTTCTGTGCATGGGCCATGAAGTTTCAATCACACTGTACGTGTGTGCCCCGCACGTGGTATTTTGTGGGAGAGCCACACTCAACGGGCCAAAGAGCCGCATGTGGCTAGCGAACCGCAGTTTGCCAACCGCTGATGTAGGTAGATGATGAGAGTGGACAGATCTAGGGTGACAGCAATGGAGGTGGGAAGAAATGAACAGGTTCTTGCCGAAACAGGTTTGGCTCAGTGGATAGAGCGTCGCCCTGCGGACTGAAAGGTCCTGGGTTCGATTCCGATCAAGGGATTGTACCTTGGTTGTGGGCACCTGATCGATGTTTCTCTCATCGATGTTTCTAACTCCCTATCTCTCTCCCTTCCTCTCAGTAAAAAATTATTTAAATAAAAAAAGGAGAGAAAAAGAAATGAACAGGTTCTGAATATACTTTGAAAGAATTTGTTGATGGACCAGACATGGATATAAAACAAAGAGGGGACGCAAGAACAACTCCAAAGCTTTGAGTCTGAGCAACTACAAGGATGGAGGTGACATTTACTGAGAACAACCTTGGAAGAACAGATTTTTTGGGGAAAAACAGGAGTTCAATTTGGCCAAAATTACTCTCAAGATATCTCTAGATATCCAAGAGGTGATATCATGTAGGCAGTCAGTGAGCAGTCGCAGGAGAGGTTCTGAGCTGGAAATAGAAATGTGAGATATGTTTCCATGCTTATCCATCCCAAATTCCTTACAGAATCCACATGATTTGGCTCCTGCTAGTGACTGACTAGAGGCTCACCTTACACCTGGCTAAGTCAATGGGTGACATACACACAAATCCTGAGCCCTCTGCTTCCCAACTGTGTGATCTTGGACAAGTTACTTAACTTTCCTTGCCTTCAGCAACCTCATTAGCAAAAGGGAGATCATATTAGTATTGGCCTCCTAGGCTATTCATTTTTGAAAAAATTAAGTAAGCATCTACAATATGCAGCCACTTGTCCTACGTGCTAGAGATATTCCTTTCCCGCCCCTCACTCACCACAATCTGTAAACCACACATCCAGCCGTCACTCCACACTCTTCCTCCGCTCCTTACCAAGACCCTTTCCTTGGTTCATCCCAGATGATCCTGCTCAGGGTCCTGCCACAGACACCATCCTGGGCTCCCAGACCCAAGTCTCTTTCCAGATGACAGCAAATAGGGCCTTCCCTTCTAGGCATCCTCCCATGGCTCCTCATTGCCTTCAGGAAATCCCCAAATAGCCAACAAAATCTTCCACGACCTAATTCATACAGAACTTTCAATAAGATCTCCAAAACCAGGCCGATCCTCATTGCTGCCTTTGTGCAAGCCATTCCACCGCACCGCAAGTACCCGCGACCCCCCTCTTCCCCCCACTATCTTTAGGTCTCAGCTCAGGCAGCTTCTACACTCCAGAAGTTTCCCTACCCGTGCTTCATCTGGATTCCCTCGCATTCAAAGTTGCACCATTAGCGAACACACTCAGGTAAGTAATGGAGCCCTTGCTCACTCCTACTACGGGGTCTTTCCCGCGTCCTGGGTGACGTCCCACGTGCTGGGGCCGCTTCAGGCCTCTGTGCCTACCTCCTGCTCCAACTAAGAACGTCTTACCTTCACGCTCTCCACGGTAAGCCTTCTGGCACCTGCCGCACGCCTCAACAGAAACCAACACCTGCGCGGAGCGCGGCCAAAAACACCCAATTACGGCCCTTTCCTTCCTTTAGAGCTGGCGACAAGCTTCCGGCTGTTTGTCTGACTGCTGATTGGCCGCCTGACGCCCCGCCCCTAAACACGTGAGCGAGAAGAACTCTGGTTTTTGTAGTTCCCCGACGAAACGCGGAACCGATGCTGATGCTAAGTAGAGCTCCATTTCCCAGGAGGTGCCTGCATCCCTGTGGCGGAAGATGATACCCTTTGCAACAGGAAGTTCTTGATTGGCCATTTGGGAGACGAAAGTTTCCAAAATGCCAAGGAAACAGGTCCACTTACCTGAACCTCTGGGATATTTTTTTGGGCCTGAAAATCTCAAAACATCTTGCTCCACAATTGTTCCAAAGGATAAGACCAGACGTCGGGGAAGGGGGAAATAAGTCTGTACCATTGTCTGCCTGTCAATCCCCAGATGGCACTAATAAGTCCTATTATACGTATTCAGCACCTACTGGATGCTTGCCTGGCAAAAGGAACCACTCCTACACAGACTCTGTGAAAACCCTGGCTTACTAGGGCAGAAACTTGATTCCCAGAAACAGGCCAGAAGTGGGCCTTTACCCTTTCAGAGTCTCAATTTACCTTGGAAAGGCAAATGTGGGCTACAATCCTGTTCAGGATCTCTGTCTAGGACTCAGACGTTCTGCAGCCCCATGTCTGTACCAATAGCTATAACTTCCCTATGGGCATTTCCGACAAGACAAAGCTCTTCCAGCACCCCTTCCCCAAACACATTCCGCACCATGCCTCTGAGGGCTGGGTGAAGGGAGCCAGGACCCTGCAAACGCTCAGGCGGGCATGTGAGAAAGCTCTTTTACTGGGGGGTACAGCAAGGAGGAGCAATGCCATCTCCCCTTACCTGCCCCCACCCCTTCCTAGGGCCCTGGGGTGAAGGGGGTCTCTCAACCACTGGACCACCACTGTCTTTGGTACAATAAATAGAAAACAAGGGGAGAGAGGGGGCCAAGGGTTCAGTCCTTAGTGTGGGGGCATGCCTAAACCCCTCTCCTTGACTCCCTGCCCCAGGCCCCAATCAGTGCAGGCCTCACCCACCCCAGCTGGGTAGCAGCAATTCCAGTCAAGGGGAGAGATGAGGATGGGAGCCCAGGGCCCCCAGATGGGGGGAGGGGTATGGCTTCAGGAGGGGCCCCAGGGAAGGGGCAGGGTCATGAGCTGGCTGCGGTGCTCTGGGGTACACCACGAAGGCCCAAGCGAGGCCCCAGAGTGGCAGGGTCATCAGGGGGTGGCAGGGGTGGACGACCTCCTGTCATCCGAGTCCGGAGGGCTGAGGCAGCCGAGTGCTGGGGGGCAGGCGCTGGATGGAGTGGAGAGCAGTCAGGAAGGCCGCCCACCAGGCTCACATCCATCAGCTCTGGAGGTGGTGGTGAGGTTGGTGATGGAGGACGGCCAAGGCATCGGGGCTTGGGGGGTAACTGGGTGCCAGCCCCTGGCAGTGATGATGCAGAGGCAGGGGCTTGATGTGTCTTGTGGGGTACATCACCGCCTGCCCAGGGGCGTATCGGCTGGGAGAGTGGGACCTAAAGGAGCAAAAGAACAGTGGGTGATGGAGACCCAAGTTCTGGAGTCCCAGATACCCCACCACCCACCTCCAAAGGCCATAAAGCCCCGTACCTTGGGGCTGTTCATCTCACAGTCAGTGATGGAGGGCGCAGGGCCCCCACAATATCGGTTGCTGTAGCGGTAGAACCGGTTGTCATTGGAGGAGCCACTGGAGCCTCCTGGAAGTGCCAGGGGAGGAGAGAAGAGGTCTTACGTGAGGAGAGGTGGGGGCTGGGTTTTCAGGTGGCTGAGTCTGATTCATGACCCAGGCACAGGTTTGGGCTTTGGGTTCTGTGTTCATGTGAAGAAATCAGGCCCACTTTTGAGATAGGGTTCAGTTTGGGGTGTTGGAGTCAGAACCAACTAGAGGTCTGAGCACAAACCCGGTTTCAGAAATCAGGTCAGAGCCAGTTGGAGCTCTCCTGCCCTAACCTCTGGAGTTCAGGATCATGCAGTTTCAAAGCTCTAGGTGATGGCCCGATGACAAGGTCCCCAAGGTCAGGCCAAACCAGAGCTTCCCCCACAACTGTCCTACCCTATTGGGCACTGGGCACCCACCAGAGCTGGAGATGGAGCTGGCGGTGCTGGAGGAGGGGCAGGTGTCGAGGGGGGAGGGCGAGGTGGAGGCACTGCCGCCTGCCGGGCCCGTGTTGGTGGCCTCATCTGCCGTGCGGCGGAAGAAGCCGTGCTGCAGAGCCCCGAGTGGGCTGATGCGGGCGGCGGGCTCATACTCCAGCATGCGCAGCACCAGGTCCTGGAAGCGGAGGTAGTCGGCGGGGCTGTGGCCCGGCTCCCCCGCCCGCCGGCCCCCGGGCCCGCCCGTCTGCACGCCCAGCACCTCCTGCAGCCGCCGTGTCCCAGGGCCCTGGTAATCCTGGCAGGGAGGGGGTGGGAGGGGGGGCAAGAGAGTGGTCGTCAGTGGGCAGGAGGGGCAGGGAGACACACACGGGGAAACAGAGGCAACAGAGAGAAAGTGGAAAGAGAAGCTAAGAAGAATTATGGGGTGGGTAGGAGAGGGTAGATTGGGGAGGAAGGAAAAGACTGACAAGGAGGAGAGAAAGGAAGGGAAAGACACGAGGGAGAGGAAGCAGGGAGAGAGGGAGCCCCAAGTGTGAGAGAGTGAGGGGCCACCAGGGTAGGAGGAGCGGCAAAGGGCAGGGGCCGCACCTTCCTGAGTTCCTTTGTCCTCCGTAGGGTCCAGCCACCCCCAGGCAGCCGTTCAAAGTACTTTCGAGCCTTGGGTGCCTGGTCTAGCATGGGGGCTGGTGGGATGCCCAACACCTCCACAATCCGATTCATTTGGTCCACCTGTGAGCATGTGGGCAGTCAGGATCATCTGGCCAGCCCGGCCTACACCCCCTCCAACGCACCCCTTCCTCAGGATCACACCTCATTGGAGCCACTAAAAAGGGGCTCTCCAGTGTGCATCTCCACCAGGATGCAGCCCAGGGACCACATGTCAATGGCCAGGTCATAGGGCGTGCCCAGGAGCACCTCGGGTGACCGGTAGAAGCGGCTCTGGATGTACTGGTAAATCTGGAGGAGGACAGAGGCAATTGTCACCCCCACTGGCATCCCCCAAACTACAAGCCTTCTGCCCTCAAACTGGGGATGTGGCGCCACTACCTCCACTTTACTTATCGGCCTCAAAAGTCTGCTGGCCTAGTCTGATCCCGATCTTCATCTGTAGGCCTGACTCTGGGCCCCTCTTAGTCAGAGTTTTGCAGTCTGCAGACCTTGGCCCTTCCTATCATCCCAATCCAGACCCTTTTCAGGCCACCACCATCATGAATTCAAGTGACTGCTTACAGGAAGTTGCATAGCTGAAGCACCTTCCCCACCTTCCATCCCAGCTTTAAGAAGACTGGGTAAACAATACTTAGCTAAATGGAAACTAGGCTCAAAGCCAACCTAACTTCCCCTACCCTCATCGGCAGCCTCAAAACTGGCCCCACCCCCAGCCTTCACTCTTCCTTTTCTGACTGGGCAGTATATATATATATATATATATATATAAGCACCATCCCTTAGGCATCAGCCACTTCACTACCCCATCCAGCTTACCTTCATCTCTGGCCACCAGCTGGCCCGCCTGGTCCCAGCCACACCCATACCCACACCACTAGTCCCACCCCTAGGGCGGGGCCAGGCCCTACCCGCTGGCCGAGCTGGCAGGAACTGCCAAAGTCCACGATCTTGATGGCACTGCGCTTGGGGTTGCAGAGCAGGATGTTCTCCGGCTTGAGGTCGCAGTGAATGATGCTAAGCTCGGGCGTGGCCAGGAAGAGAAGCGCCGTGCAGAGCTGCTGCGCCAACTTCCGCGTCAGGTTCAGTGAAACACCCCGGAAATGCGTGTTGCGCAGAAGGTCATACAGGTTGTAGGAAAGCAGTTCGAACACCAGGCACAGGTGGTTCCGGAACATGAAGTGCCGCTTCAGGTGCACTGCCGGGAAGGGGACCAAACAGGTGGATGGAAAAAAAACCTGAGGCTCAGAGAAGGCCAGTGAAATCAAGGAGAGGGCCGGAGCAGATATGTGTCTCCGCTTCTTGAGCACTGGCCAAAGTGTGGTGTGCCCACAGGTGCCAGCTGCTAGTCCGGTATTTTTATATGGTCCATAACTTGGACCATACCAAGAAAAAGAATAATTTTCTTAAGAAAAGTGAATTCTTCCCAAGTCTCTTATCAAACTGTCAGATTAAACCAAAGAGAAAGTTTCCATTTGGTGCTGACAGGTCTGTACAGGGACTGACGAAGAGACAGACAGGCCAGGCACCACTGATTTTCTCCAGCTAAGCAGGCTCACCAATGGTGTCTATATGAGTCTATACTGCCTCAATTTTATAACATTGTTTTAGTCTCAGTTCTTCTTTGTGTGTGTGACAGAGATTACTCATTTTCCATTTACTGTGAGATTTTATATTTAAAGAAACCCTTTAAGTCCCTTGCTTTTTCTAAGAGGAACCAGTATAAACAAGAGGGAAAAGGCTGGCATAGATGTTATAAGTAAAGGCTCTGGAGTCTACTGCCTGGTCAAATTACAGCTCTACTGAATACACACTCTGTGACCTTCTGCAATAATAGCACCTGAATGCCTTGTTTTTTCATCTCTGGGCTGTGGGCAATGATGCCCCTTCCATGGCACTGTGGTGAGGCAGACAAGAGCTTATTTATGTAAAGTGCTTACAACAGAGCATGACCCTAAGCACCTAAGAAACTCTGACCAGCAATACCTTGTGAATAAGAAAAAAGTCATTAAAAGTGGCAGAAAAGTCACCGATGTCATGGAATTACAGACCAAACCCTGTCCTGAGACGCCAGCCCCATCCTACAGCAGGGGTGACCTGTCCCTGAGCAGCTCGTGCTGCCTCAAGGCTCACCTATGTAGTACTTCATCTCAGTGTCGTGCTGGTTCATCAGCTCCAGCAGCCGCAGCTCAATCTGGGCCTGGTTCAGGAAGGCCTTTTTGTTCTTGATGATTTTGATGGCCACCAGCTCCTGGGTCTGATGATCATAGGCTTTCACCACCTGCAGGGGCAGGGTACGGCACAAAGTGAGGGGAATGGGAGCTGAGGGAGGAGACAGCGCCAGGTACCACTGCTTTCCCTCCAGTTAAGGAGGTTCACCAATATCATTATCAAAATTGAGTGCTCACCACAGTCAGGCACTAGTATGAACAATGGACATGAAATAATACAACAATTCTCCTAAGGAGAGTCCTGTTAATTGCAGGTTTTTTTTTGTTTTTGTTTTTTTTTTTAAAGAAAATGAAACAGGCACAGGGAAAACCAAGTGACCTGGCTGGGTTGAATGGCCCAGCATAGAACTTGAAACCACTGAACCACTGACTATGAATCAGTATCAGTGTGTGCCCATATCCCCCAATCTCTGGATCTGGGTGGGTGGGGGCATCCCGCACCTGGCCAAAGGAGCCTTTGCCAATGAGGGAGTCAATCTCATAACGCTCCAGCCAGCGCTCGCCACTGCGCACTATGTAGTCATGGTTGTCATCGTCATAACCGTGGTTCAGGACCTTCTTCTCCTTCTTGGTGCTGGAGTCCTGAGGAGGAGCCTGCTGGGCCCGCCGCTTCTTCTTTGCATAGTAGACCTGCCCAGCCGGCCAGCCAGGAGATGAGGACTGGTGAGTGACCTGTGCCAGCAGCCAGGACCCCTCAACACCCAGCCGGGTCCCCCACCCCCTGCCTACCTCATTGATGTGCTTGTAGGTCTTGATGAGGTCCACGGAGAGCTTGCGCAATGGGGCCGTGGTGGCATCCCGGAAGGCCAGAGGAAGCCTCCTCGGCAAGAGCCGCACATTAGGCAATACCTGCTGGGCGGGGTGAGAGGTGGGCACTGAGGACAGACCTTAACCTCCAACCTCAAGAGAGAGAACTAATGGGTGGCTGGCTCATCGCCATGCGCGCCTATTTACTTGGTCACTGTCTGACAACCCCACTAGCAGAAAAAGTCACCAAGGGCAGAGGCTATGTCTTATTCTTGCTGTATATCTTCAGTGCCTGGAGCGAGTCCTGGCATGTAGTGGATAATAATAATAATAATTAAAAAAATATTTTTATTGATTTCAGAGAGGAAAGGAGAGGGAGAGAGAGAAACACCAATGATGAGAGAATCATTGATTGGCTGCCTCCTGCATGCCCTCAACTGGGGATCAAGCCTGCAACCCAGCCTCCCCTTATACCCCATTCAGATCTTTCTTTCTTTCTTTCTTCTTTTTTTTTTTTTTTTAATATATTTTATTGATTTTGTATAGAGAGGAAGGTAGAGAGCGAGTTAGAAACATCAACGAGAGAGAGTCATCGATCAGCTGCCTCTTGCACACCCTCTACTGGAGATGTGCCTGCAACCACGGTACATGCCCTTGACCGGAATCGAACCCGGGACCCTTCAGTCCCCAAGCCGACGCTCTATCCATTGAGCCAAACCGGTTTCAGCCCCCCTCCAGATCTTTCACTCTGGACTTTTTCTTAGTGAACATTTATTGCTTACTATGTGCCAAGCACTGTCCTCAGCATTGTACATGTATTTCATTAACTAGTTTAATCCTCACAACAACCCTGTGAGGTAAATATCATTATTGGCCTCATTTTACAGAATAGAATACCGAAGCATGGAGAACCTAAGTAATTCTACCTATTTTAACCCAGGCCCTCAAAACCCCAGCTCTATCAGCAACTTTTCTATTATATTCAACTTCCATGGGGCTCTTCATGCCCCCGAGAGACTGTCCTGGACAACCACACTATCTTTGGCCCCAAGATCCTTCTATTCCCAGCCTCCCTCCATCCCAGGCAGGCGAGGAGCCAGCTGACCACATACCTGTGTGTGTTCCTGGGGCCCTGGGAAGCCAGAGAAGGGACCATGGCCCGGTGGGACGGCCATGGTGGGCTCAGAGGGCCGCAGGGGAGCGAGGCCTGGAGCGGGAGCCCGGCCGGGGGGCGCCTTCTCGCATCCTGCACCTCGGCTGCCACCGCCGCTGAGACCTGGGAGCAGGTGGGAGGCAGGGGAACAACATGGAAGGGATAATGTGTGGGATAATGCCAGGCAGGAAAGAGGTGGGCATCGGAGCAAGGCAAGGCAAGGGTGGAGGAAAAGTGCAGCAGAGCAACAGGTGGGAATGAAGAGGGGACAGACAGAAGTGGCGAGGGGGAGGGGAAAGAAGGCACAGCAGAGTCCCTCACCAAATGATTACCAAATAAATGAGGTAAGCAGCACAAACAGGGGCACATGTGAAAGAGAGTGGTTGGGAGTCAGACAGGAATATGGGCCAGGACAGAAAAGGACAGAAAGACACCAATAATTGGAGGAAGAAGAAAACAGAAATCACAGACAGTATGGGGAGTAGGGTTCACTCTTTTCTTCCCATTTCCACTTGTAACCCTCCCCAGGCTGCCCTCACACAAGATCCTTTCCTCCTGCACTCTCCCCTGAATATTGGGATCTCAACAAAGCAAGGTTCATCTGTTTCAAGATCTACCCTTCCCAACAGATCCCCCAATCCAGAAATCTAGGATTCCCCAAATAACATTAGAGTCCCCACCAAACCATAGCAAATCCTCTGTAGGCCTCTAAAACCACACCAGGGTATTTGGGTACCTCCTGATCATAGTTATCTGAAAACTCCTACATAACAGTCCCACTCCTCCAGCGCACTCCTTCCCCAGTGACCCTCCCCATATTATGCCAAGACCTCTTCCCTATATTATATTCCCCCACCTCAGGGACCACCCCAACAGCTAGTTTCTCCATATCAACTCCCCAATATTATGTCAAGGTACCCCTTCCAATCAAGGCCCAATCCTCCCGATGGGAGCAAAGGGGATGTGTCTCTTCTCACAATTTATAGTGATAGTCCTTCTCTTGCCTAGCCTGGAGTCTACCCACCTCCTCCCAATCCAATATTCCTACTAGGGCCCTTTTTCCAGGGACTCTTCTACCCACTAGTCAATCCACAACTGTGTCCATTCCTAGAAGGCCCCATAGCCAATCCCCCAAATATCACAGAATTCTTCCCTATCTGCCACACCAAAATCCTCTCCCGCGGGCCTTCCCTCATATCAGTCCCTTTCTCCTATGCCAAGTCTTGCCACCCCACGACCCCCTTCTCTTGGAGCTCCCCCTTCCCCCCCACACACACACCAAACTCTTTCCTGGGGGCCCTCCCACACCAGGATCGTCTCTCCCAGCCACCACCCCCTACCCGGGTCGGGGCTGGTGCGGGGCCCACGGGAGGCTGGGGCGCGGTGGGGCCCCCAGTGGGGTGGGCGAGCGGCCAGCATGGCGGCGGTGGCGGTGGCGAGGAGACAGCCGCCTGTCCCGGGCCGGCGGGCCCCGGCAGGCCCTACAGCGGGGAGGGCAAGTGGGACAGGAGGCCCGGTGGGTGACAACAGCAGCCGCTGCGGGGGGGAGGGGGAAAGAGGAGGGGACAGGGACGAGGGTCAACCCGGGGCACACAGGGAAGGGAAAGGCAGGTGGACGGGGGAGGGGAGGGGCGGGTTAACCCTCGACCCGCCGGCCCCGCCCCACGCAGCCACCGGCCCCCAGGGACACAGGCGTCTGGCCTCCCATTTTGGAGGGCCGCCAGGGCCAGCGGGCAGGCCTGAACTTGGCAGTCCACACCTGCCATGGCAACAACCGCGCCATTGGTCGCTGGGCCCAAGAGCTCAACCAATCACAGCTCGGGGCGGTTGTCGCTAAGCGACAATGATGCAGCGGGCAGAGCCGAGCCCAAACAAAGGGCGGGAGTGGGACCCCCGGACCCCTTCCCAGGACAACTCTCTCAGGCTATGCCCTTCCAGGAACCCAACTATGAATAATTAGACATGGCCTGCACCTGCCCGCCGCCCCACTCCTCTCCTCCCTGCGCCTCCTAAGTCTCCCGGCTACAGGGGGAGGGCGGAGTGCGAGCCGCGCCCCATCTGAAGCCACTTCGTTACCTGAGAACGCAGGCAAGGGGACTCAAACTGCCCGGGAAGCCCGAGCTCAGGCTGCCCACTGGCTGAAGATATCCGGTGGACGCAGCGAAGCAGGGCCCTGATTACCCAGTAATGCAACCAGCAAAATGGCAACCACAACAAACCGGCCCCCCCTCCCCACAGGCTTTGAGCTCCGCCCCCACCCCCCCTTCCGCTCCCCCTCACGTGACTCACGGCAATACACTGCGCCTGCTCAGCAGAGCTTACCAGCACACATGCGCAGTGAGCTCCACCCAAGCGCCAAAATCCAGGCTTGGGTGGCGCAAGAGGCAGCTAAGAAAGGAGCATGCGCTGTGAGGTCGGATGTGAATGTCCATCCCCCAACCACCACCAGCAGGCAAGTTTAACTAAAGGCGCATTCCGCCCTGTTGTCAATGGAAGTCGCCAAGCAATCAGCAGCAGACCCACACCGGAAGGAAGGATGAGTCTTTTAATAGAAAAACACACGTGTAACAGTAGCAACACAATTTCTAGCAATCCAGATGAAGAGCCAGCCTTCAGTTCTTCACCTTGGGGGGCGGCCTATGAGAAAGATAAGGCATCAGAGCTTGTCACCACTTTAGGGTAAGATGACCAGATGTCCCGCTTTTGGTGGGACAGTCCTGATTTTTAACAATTTGTCCCGTGTCCTGCAGCGTGTTAAAAAAGTCCTGATTTTTGGAAAGAATGCATGACACGCTAGGGAATGGCAGGAGAACCCCAAGAGATCAAGAACCACCCCGGTCAATGGTGTCCCGCTTTACCAATGTTAAAATCTGGTCACCTTACTTTAGGGGCACTCCTAAGAAGTATTGAACCATGTGGCTCTAGGGTGCTGGGGCCAGAGACATTTGTCCTGTTGGAATACAGGGCCCCCTGCTCACCTGTATACACCCACGACCACAGCGTGGTCTCTTTCATATGGCTCTAGAGTCAACTGCTCCTGGGGTTTCATATTTTCCTGTTGCATTTTTTTCACTTCAGAGGCAAACACTGCCTCGGCAGATGCTGTGGAGTCAATGCAGTTAGCCTGCAGAGGAGAGAGGATTTGAAGTCTGCAGCAAGGCTTGAGCTATTTGCCCTTTTCTGTGCTCTTTAAATTAGAAGAACTTGTTTTTACTGGAAATGGTGAAACTCAAGTTTTGGAAATTTTCAATTTGGTCTGGATTTAGAACAAGTAGCCTTCAACAGAGTCATATGATCTAAAAGCCAGTGTTTAAATTTTACCCTCAGGGCTTTTCCCCCCTTCTGCTTCCTCTTTAACAATAATAATGCAGCTGAGAATATGAAGCTAAATGTAGCAAAAGGCTAACAAAATGGTGAATCTGGTTGAAAGGCACATGGCAGAATTCTCTGTATTTCAAACTAAAATGTTATTTAAAATGCAACTAATATTTATCTAGTATTTATTCTACATCAGGCTGTTCTAAACACTTCATGTATATTGATTAATTTAATCCTTAGATAGACAAATTGTTAGTGTCTATATAAGGATTAAATTAATCAAATATTTCTATTTTACATATATAGTATTTTCATTTTACAAGCACACAGATTAAGTAACTTGTTCAAAGTCACACAGCGAGCTGGAATTCCAACTAAAATTGTCAGTTAGGGATCGCGCACTTGACCACTACATTCCATTGCCTCTTTAAACCCAAAGCTGCTAGTTTTGTGGACATTATTCACATGTGATATTTGACTCAGGCCAGGGAATGGCTAGAAGGGAGCTGTGGGGATAAAGGCTGAGAACAGACTGGATTGGGGAGGGATAAAGGCCCCCTTGTTTTGACTGGCTACTTGGCAGTTAATGATAGAGAAGATACTTAGAGTCCTCTAAGACCAGCACCTTAATGGAAATCACAAAGTGTCCTCCATTACGTAGGAAGGTGTGGGCATTCAGGGCTACAATCCGGGTTTGGTCTGGCTGGGCCACATCGGCAAAGATCACATCCACCATTGCTAGGGAGAAAGAAGTGGCAGTTAAAAGCTGGGTCCACTGATCTTCCCAGCTCCTCCCAGGGAGGCTACAGATTCCTGGCAGTCTCCCCTGCTTCCAGTCTCACTTCCACCCAGTGGTGCCCCTTCCCTCCACGGTGCCCCCAAGATGTGTCCAAAACCAATCACATCATTCACTCAGACCTCTTATAACCCATGGTTACCACCTACTCTGTGCCCAGCCGCAGCCCGTGCGTGGGGGACAGAGATGAGTCAAACCCTGACCCCACCCTAGAAGACGCTCTCAGGCCTGGGTGCGGGGGAGACAGACACGTCATCAAAAGGCAAATAAAGGTGAGCACTTACAGGCAAGAGTGTCTGCAGGATTGTCAGATGAAAACAAGTTGCAGGAAAAGGGGTATGGTATAGGTACATGGGAAAAAAACCTCACATGAACCAGCAGAATGCAAAATACTATTTTTAAGGCAGTATGGTTAAAAAAAAAACTTTAAAATATGGGAAGATGTAATGAAACTAACTTTTCAAAATTGGAAAAAACAGACATCAAATTGTTCATATGTTACCCGAGAGGGTGATTTATAAAGAATTCCATTTTTACATCTTGCTTCTGAATATTTTTAAAAAAAATCAAAGTAATTGATATTTACAATGGGCTCCTCTGGGCCAGGCCACACTCAGTTTGTGTTTTCTGGGTTATGATCTCACCAGAGGATGAGGACCTCTGACGGAGGCTTTTTGTTATTGTTGTTGTTATTTTGTTATTGTTGTTGTTATTGTTGTTATTTTGTTATTGTTGTTGTTGTTCTTACTCCTTACCCAAGGATTTTTTTCCATTGATTTTTTTTTACAGTGTGGGAGGGAGGGGGCTGAGAAAGAGAAAGATTGATTGGTTGCCTCCCTGCACCTGCCTAAGGATTGAAACTGCAACCCAAGTATGTGCCCTTGATTGGGAACTGAACCCATGAGCTTTCAGTATGTAGGCAGATGTTGTAATCACTGAGAAATACCAGGAAGAGCTGAAGGAGGCTTGTCTATATAAGCCAGGGGCAGTGTAAAAGTACCATATTTTAGAGGGAGGAAGGCAGTATGGGGCAGCCGAGGCCTAGGGAGAGGGGCACGAGATCAGAGGAGAGGAGGCTGGCATCTGAAGGTGCCAGAGACCCTGAAGCAGGTCTACCATCTTCACCTCTCCTGGCTCCCCCAACCCTTTCATTCCTGCAGACTCAAGAGGCCTGCTCATCCATTCCAATTCCATCCAAATTAGGGCCTTGGCCTCTTCCAGAAAACCTGGAGTGGCCTATGCTACCCCACTTGGGCCAATCCCTGATCCCTCACCAATGAGCATGCGGTATTTGTGCGGGTGCCGAGCATCTTCAATGACAGGAATAATGTTAGTCCTCTTCTTGGCCAAGTTAATGAGGTCACGGCCAGAGCGGTGAGAGAACTCAACTGCATAGACCAGACCATCCTAAAATAAATAACAATGATACTAGTTCTCATGTATGGAGCACCTACTTTGGACCCATACATGCATGCAGCATATCTTCAAATCCCCAAATCTAAACCCTACCACTTAACAACTATTATTATCCTGTTCATTTTACAGATGAATAAACTGAGGTCCAGAGACATGAAGTCGCTGGCCGAGGTTTATTCGTTCCGCTTTGCCTGATCTGAAAACCCAAGCCCCCAATACAGGCTTAAAACCAGGAAGCAAGTGCACAGAGATGAAGTCATAACAGCTAAGAATATCTGCAATAGTCCAGGCATTCACTCATTTATCTTCACAATAACCCTATTTTGTAGAGGGATAAACTGAAGTCCAAAGAGAGTAAATAACTTGTGAAAGTCATGTCACTGTTACATGCCTGCACCAAAGCCTGGGTTTTATAGGTTCTGTAATGTAGATGAGCCAGAGGTCATGAAATGACATGCACAGGTACCCTCTAAACAGGGAGCTTGTACAGGCACACTGAAATGCAGGCCTGGAAAATGAGATTTGTTCTTTCAAGAAAAACTAGATCAGATTTTGGGTACATAAATTTTTTAAAAGGGCAAGTAAATCAAGTAGTATGGTGTATACTCAGTTCTGGGTCTGGTTAACAATGGTGACCCAATGTCCATGCCCCTCACCTCTGAGCCAAGAACTCAGAAATGAAGTTGAATGAGGCTTTGGAGAGCAGATAGTTCAAGCTGCTTTACTCACAGGCACTCTAGCAGGGAAAGGCCTAGCTCCATGCCATGCAATGCAGGGAAGGATCTAGGGCCTCTGACTCCAGGTTGGCAGAGCAGCAGTCTTCCTCTCCCTCCTACCTCACCACCAGCCCTTACTCATATCCATCCCCATAACCTCATCCACTCACCGG